ACCCTGTCTCTGTTTAGTGACCTGTCTCCCTGTAAGCCTCATCTGCTCAAGCTGATTTCTTTCACTCAGACCACGAACTTTCACTGCACTAGCTTTTTCTAGATAACATGCTTCCTTGGCAGAGCTGCTGATGCTCTTATGTTCTAATCCTTTCATTTCACCTTTCCTCTTGACTCTATGCTGGCCAGACAGCTCCGTTGTATGACTTCTCCCACTCCTAAAAGCTGTCTGTTAGAAACTTATCTTTGGCCCAAAGCCTTTATCCAAACACAGATCCTATTATCCGCCCCACTGTCCTCTTTGTCTTAATCAGAGCAGCCTCTTTTATTTCTCTCAACTTCATTCAAAACAGCCTATAAAACTAACTTATCCTATTGTATGAACACCAGCTTCTAGGCCTTACTTTCAGTCCTCTAGAATTCTCTTCTGGACTACTGCCCTCTACAGTCTTTCTGCCTTCATTCATTCTTATCCCCACCCAATTCTTCCTCTAAGAGTTGTCATAAAATGTGTAGTTGGTCATTAAACAAACTAAAACAAAATTCATGTTTAAGTTAAACTGCCAATATAATATTAAGCAGGTCTTTTTCTAAAAAAATAATTAATTTTTTTTTAAAAAAGGTCTCACTATGTTGCTGGGGCTGGCCTTGAACTTGAAGTCCCAGGCTCAGAGATCTCAGCTTCAGCCTGTCAATGATTGGGGGTTACAAAAGTGTGACACTGTTACTGGTAGAAGTGGGTAATAAGGCCATGGAGACACTGTCTTTATGTTACAGCATATTAATGCCATTATTGTGGGACTGGGTTCTTTATAAAGAACTTATTATGGCTCTCTCTGCTCTTCTATCATGTGGTTCCTTTCACCATGTGAAAACAGAGCAAGAAGGCCTCAGGAGACACCAACACCTTAATTTGGGACTTCTCAGGCTCTTGTTGTAAATTACCCAGTCTGCAGGATTTGCTAGAGTAGCACAAAAACAAAACTAAACCCTTAACACACACCACAACATCAGGCCAAATCCTCTGTATCGAGCTACTAATGTGTCCTTAGACACAAAAGGGGCACTGACTTACTGCTTACTGCCACTGCACTCACTAATTCTCAGTCTGTCCTTTCCCTCAGGTATGAGTGTGTGGTGTGCTCACATGTATAAGCATGCATTTACATGTGTGTGTGCATGTGGAGGCCAGAGGTGTTGATGTCAGGTGTCTTCAACAATTACTCTCCATGTATATTCTGAGACGGGGTTTCTCATCAATCAGTTGGGCTGTCTGGCCACAAAGCTTCAGTGATCTGTCTTTCTCCTTCTCAGTGCTGAGATTTCAGGTGTTTGGTACAACTCCAGGCTTTTCACATGGGAATTTGAATTCAAGTCCTGATGATAGTGATAAAAAGCCATTTCTCCAACCCCTCCATCAATTATTTGAAAAACTGAATTCTAATTTCCCTAATCCTTAGTCACTTCATTTTTGCAGTGACCGTATGATTGGCTACTAACTGGCCTCAACTGCATGAAATCATAAATACTACTGTTTGCTTCTCCAATCTAGTCAGAGGCCAAGGCTCCTTAACCCTCTCTGGGTAGGTGCTCTTCGACACATGCAGTCTAGTTCACATAATCAAAAACACAGGCAAAAGTACATCAAGACAGCAGGAGCATAAATGCTGTTAGCATATAAGGCAACTGAGAGTGTAATAAAACACACTGCCATCCTTATGAACAGAACTGAGGGTACATTCTAGTATCGTGGTTATCTGAGTGAACGGTGCACAAGGAACTTAGATCATACCCATAATAAGTAGCTCTTCCCCCATATACAGGCCTGGGGCTAGTCCAGGGAATAAAGGGATAGGGGAAACAAGGTCTACCCCAGAGAGCATCAGCACAGGTATCAGAAAAGGTGGGAGGGCTGCCCTTCACCCCAAACAACTAAGAACTTCAGGAGTACACTCGGGAGAACTAATGTTTCTAACACTTTAGACATCTGGAACATAGAGCAGCAGGGGAAACCAGACAGGTAAGCAACAAGGGCTCAGCAGGGTCTGACTCAAAGTGAAGAGTTCACTTACTCTTCCAGAGTTTTAAGCAATGAGTAGCATAGGCATTATTAAATCTGGGGCTGGCAATATTTTTCTGTAAAGGGTCAGATAAGTATTAATAGTTAAGGTTTTTTTGGACCATGCTGTTGATTATAAACATTCCATTAAAAAGGTATAAGCCCTTCTTAGCTTATTGTAGACAAATGGCCCAGTAATCTGCCTACTGCTGCTAGACAAGAAAAAAAAAATCAAAGCTAAAATAGGCTGTAATGTAGTGGTACTACAGCGGTTAGGAGTATATGCCACTTTTAATGACAAACATGAGGGTAATAAAAAAAGCAGATCAGGAATTTGCTTTAAAATGCTTCAACCAAGGGAAAAAAAAAACAAAAAGGCAAAGGTGAGAAAAATGTAGCAGAATCCTGAAACTATGAGCAAACAGCTCACTCACTGTATTATTTTTACTTTGCTTAATTTTCTTTTTCTTTCTTTCTTTTTTTTTTTTTTTTTTTTTGAGACAAAGCCTCACTGTATAGCAGTGGCTGGCCTTGACTCACATAGCCTCTCTCTCCTGAGACTAATGGCATCACTGCTGCCACCACCACCAAGGGAGAATGGATTGGGGGAGGGGCTAAGAGAACCAAGAATTAAGTTTCAAGATGAAGTTATTACAATATAATCAATAGGATGGATGTGGTGGCCATCATATGTCCCCTATAACACAGGACTAGAAAGGACCAAAAAAGGTTTTAATTTCTCAGAACTAGATGGGAAATCTCTCTGGTCAGTTTTTGATAGACATCATGACTTAACAGTCCGGTAACATCAGTGGAAGTGAACCATGAAAAGGTCTCTGTACCTCACAAATTACATAAGACCACAACCCTGGGCTATTTCTACACTTGTTCACATTCTACCCCTAAGTCCTACAAAAGTGTCTGCAGATAGCAAGAACCTTGTCTGTTCTGGTCAGTGAGGAGGTACTTCTCAAAAGTTGAGACAACTCACAAGAGGGCAATCCTGTTTCAGTGGAAAATGGCTCCTACGATAAGAGACTGCAAGAAGAAACTGGTGTAACATGCCTGCAGCTACTTTGAATTTCCAGATTTCAACTGTATTAAACAAGGCAATGTCCTATAACTCAAGTGCGATCCAGGATTTCCATACCCTAAGTTCTTAGATAACACATTTGATGACTATAATGAATAATAGTCGTTCAAATGACTAAAAGTCATTCAGGCATGTTCAGATGACAAGAATGAAATCAAGAGAGAATGTCTGCCAACTCAAGGGCACCTAAGTGGTAGATGTGTAAATGGAAGATGGAACTATATGAGAAAGTGATACAGACAAGAGTATGATTTATGCTCTGGGTATTTTCGTATTTAATTTGTGAAAAGCATATATATATATATATATATATGACTTGTCTCTATTATTTAAAAGCTAGGAATAAGGATTGAAGGGGTTTTTGTAATGGAATATTCTCATGGTAGTGCAGGAGAGTTCTACCTACTCCAGGAATAATGGAAGCAAAAGACTGTGAAAGGCAGTGTAAAAATTTTTCTGAAGCTAAGGGCTCACTCAGGTACTGGCTTGAAGCAAGTAATTCAGCATATTTTGATTGAGTTAATGTAAAACAAAAAATACTTTATTAATCTCAGTCCCTTCCTAATTTCACATCCTTATCCTAGTATAGAATCATTCCAAATACTACCATTTGAGATAAAAGCACTGGGAACAACTCAGAGATTATAAAATACAATCCTCATCTAAAACCTCGTTTAAAATAGCCAATCCACTCCAGGTGTGCAAAACAAACAACAAACCTGTTTCCCGATAGAGATATGTAAAACAGATTCAGTAAAAGAAACAAGGAAGCAGAAAGATTTGTTATGCTACCACCTGTCTGAATATGAGGAACGAATTATATATTTGCTAGCATTTGAATAAAGAAATCTTGGAAGTCTATTCAAGATCTTAACAAAAGTGTTAACTTTTTAAGGTGGGCCTAGGACCGCCGTTGAGAACACCGGAAGAAAATCTTGTTTTTATATTTTGCATTAAATTTTTGTTTTTAAAATCTTTTTATATTCTAGTGTAGTGGTCACATGAACATTACCTATTCAAATAGACACACACACCACACACAAACACACACAGATTCAGACGTACATAAACTGTCCTGGCCACCCAGATTAACCATCTTAAAATAACACACCACCACGGGCACGTCTCCATCCGGCCTTTGTTTATCTTTTACATCCCTGCCCCAATACTTCTCAAAGCTTTTCCCTAAGTCAACACTTTCTCTGTTTGCTGCGGTGGGGGTAGGGCAGATGGCCTTCTCTGATCGCAATTGGTCTACATATGAGTTTCTCCTAGGAGCCGGCCGGGAAGTACAAGGGTTTGCTTCCACACCCGCAGGTGTCTCTCAACGCCTCTCTCCCACCAAAATAAAGGGGAGGGGTGACCCAATTAGGTCACCTCTAAGTCTCAGAAACAAACTTAACCGCAATCAGGGCAAATTTTTTAAGCGCTAATAATCGAGGTTCTCCTCCCTCTAAGCCCGAGATGGCTACGAACAGTCAAGGAAGCCGGGGCGGATTCCGGTCCTTCCTCGGCCCAGGGCGAGCTCAGACGGCAGGAGCTGCCCTCGGGGCCCCGGCCTGGCTTCCCCTTCCCCTTCCCTCCTGAAGGGCGCTTCCCGGAGCGCGGAGGAAGTCACGATCTCCCCAAGGACCCGCCCGAGACCCGAGAGCAGAGAAGGGAAGGGCGTGGCGGGCCGGGGGGAGGCGGGAGCGCGGGCGGCCCGGGACTCACGTACTGGCTGTGGCGGCGCCGCGGGAGCCCGGCCGCCGGCGGGACAAAAGCGCGGACTGCCCGGCCGGAAAGACCCGCGCCGCGGGGGCACTTCCGAGGCCGCTCTAGGATGCTGGAGGACTGACTCTCGGTGGTCCGGCCCTGTTCGCGCACGTGACCCGCGCTTTGCGGGTGCGCTGCTGGCCTTCTTACCCGGACTGGAGAGCACTTTCAGCCCGGATGCCCAAGATGTGTAGGGGGCGTTTTCCTGTTGTCTTGGGCGTTTATATTCCGGGGTGGGTTGGGGGCGGGTAATAAAATAATGGAGTGGCGGTAGAATAGATACTTCACTTCCTGCCTGTGAAGCTGAACTCACAGTTACCAAGTGAGACAGGAGAGATTCTTAGGAAGCGGGGCTGAGCTCCTGAGAGGAAGCAAAATATGAGGGACCTGTACCCCTTCTTTCTAAAAGGCTCCCCCCACAGCCAAGGCCCTCAGCTGAGTTCAAGTTTCCAGGAAGCCAGCTATTGAGACTGCAAAAGTAGCTGACCCTCTCCCCCAATACTTTGCAGTTTCAAAAACAGCTTATCTAGGGAAAACAGCTAACTTCCTCATTCTGCCACTAAGAAAACTCCTTTCCAACCCCCCTATCCTAGCTACAAAACTCCAGTTTAAAGCCTGTAATCTGCATCAGTCTATATCTGTTTTTTGTTTCTTTCAGAGCAAGCCCTGAGGTGGATATGTAGAGAGAATGGAAGTTATTGGTGTAGTCGTGTCTTTGACCGCATTTGGGCACCAAGCTACAGAATTCTAGGCATCTCTAAGGAGGCCAAGGCCAGTGGGAAGTATGCTATGACATAGAGCAGAGTACAACAGTAGTGAACCATAAGATGGAGAAGAGCCCTAGGTCCTTGTCAGGCCAGCAAGCAGTAACTTGTGGAGAAGAGCATGGACAGGTTGGGGGTTGGGGCAGGATTCTCCTACAATCCAAACAGTGGCCGAGACACAGCTACCCAGTGCTACAAATGTGACCAATGCAGCTGATGACCAAATGATTAATTAAATTTCATTGAAATAGCCACATATTGCTAGGAGCCCAATTACTGGATAGCACAACTTGGAAGAGCTTTGGGCAGTTCTCTGAGGACTCCAGAAGAATTCATAGTCTAAGTTAAAGGCTATTATATTAGGCTGGCCTACATCCCAAGATTTTGGATTGTTTTGTTGTTGTTTGCTTGTTTGTTCTTTGTTTTAGACAACAAAGTATAGCAATATCTATATCTGGATTGGGACGATTTGTTCAGTAAAGGACAGCAGAGAGGGATCATTGGGAACCCTAAATAAAGCATCTTGGTTTGGGTGATTTTTATTGTGGATGATGGTTTTTCCCTTCCATGATTTCTGTTATTTTGCAGGCATTTTTTTTTTGGCCTTTTATACACACACATACACACACACACACACACACACACGCATACACACATGCATACACACACACACACACACACACACACACACACACACACACACACACTCCCTTTTCAGAGCTTCCCCTTTGAAACAGCTACTGAGACAGTCTAGACCAAGATTACCCATTGTAGAGCTGCTATGAACATTTGGTGGCTATTAAAACATGTGATATGGCTACTCTGAACTAAGACACATTATAAATGTAAAACTCACATTGGATGTCCAAGCTAAGAAGGGAAGAGAGAATGTTTATAAAAAGCATGAGTAATCTTATGCTGACGACAAGCTAGAGTGATAATAGTTGGGCTCCATTTGTCACCATCTGGTTAAGAGTTCCTTTGCTCTAACAGATTAGGAAGCATAGGTAGGCTTTCAAGTGCTGGTGGTTTCTTGCAGCTTTACCTTCTCTTGGTGTTTGATGGCAGTAAGTGACAGGGTTAGGTCAGGAGCTCTAGTTTCACAGCCCCCATACAAGCCTTGGGTATCAGAATGCTTAGGCCTTGGCAGTAGTCGGTAGTACAAGTCTTAGCCTGGGGATACCTTGGCCCTGAAGACTTGATGGCTCTTGGCACTCTTCTGATGGCCAAATGCAACTTCTCCTCTTTGGCTTCTTACAGTCTTTTATCTTTCTTCAGCACCAAGGCTCTACCTTCTTGTCTCCCTCTTCTTGCCACCCATCTTCCTACTGTGGCTAGTCCCAAACTCTTCAGTTGGCTCTTGCCTACTGTGAAGCAGCTAGCTGTCTTATGGCGCTCACTTTGGTCTGCCAACTGCTCTGCTGTTACTGCTGGTGCCATTCCACTGCCTCTGCCATCATTGGTGCCACTCTCTGATGTCCCTGCTGCTGCTTTATGTGTTATTAGCCCAACCTAGGCTCCTAAGAGCAGGCCAGACCATGAAAGAGATTGAACCTGCTTTTGAAACATCAGAGGAAATAGAACAGGATAGTATCTCCCAGCTGGTTCACTAAATGAACCTGAATAGCTTGCTCGTAGAGACTGAGAATGGGTGTTTGGACCAATCACAGATATTTTGGGGGGCAATCATGGTCTTGCTTCTCAGCACAGCTACTCTGCTAGATCATCAGGGCAAGTGTCCCCTCTAAACAAGGTGGAAATGATTACAGTGTCATCTAGAGTTTACTGATGCCTGAGACAGCAAAACACCAGTACAGACTGTTTCAAATAGTCCTGGTGTGTGCTCTCTGGGCCCGCCAGCTCTACCTACCTCTCTCAGGGTGTTCCCTACAGGTCCTGGCATAAGGTCGGTCAGCTTGACTGTTAGACTCAGAATGTTTTTGCTCAAGGTAGCCAGCGCAGAAATAGAAGCAAGGAAGAGTTAGACAGCTGCTAATTAAAGAGTCCTGTTGCCCCATCCTCCAATATATATGTCTGTTTACAGGAAGGTGAACATTAGAAGGGATGCTTTCAATGCAAGGGTGAAGAATTGGTTAACAATAACTGATTACAACAGATTTAAGAAGTCAATAGTGTTTCAAACTTAGCAGTGCCTTGGGAAGAGGTGGGTCTCACAATGGGTTGAATAAAATGTGTTGTTGAAATTAATTTCATATGCCCCCTTTTGCTTTAAATATGGCAACTAGAAAATCGGAGATTTCATACATGAATCATGTCATGTGTCCATTGGAAATGGATGTGCATCTTTAGAAGGCCAGTAAGTGTTGCGACGGTGATGTCTCAAATTTATTTTTATTTGGAGTGGTTCAAGTATAGCTGTTTGATTTGGTTATAATTTTATTTTAAAATCTCCTTTCCTGGAATAGCAAAACATGCATTCATCATGTAAAACTTGAAAGAAGGAGGAAAAGATTATTTGCCATTGTGTTGCTGTCTTAGTTAGCTTTCTATTGCTATTGACCAAAAGCAACTTGTAATCTATCTTACAGCTTGTAGTCCATCATTTCTTAATTGAGGTTCCCTCCTCTCAGATGACTCTAGCTTATGTCAAGGTAACAACAACAACCGAACCGAAACACACAAACAAACAAACAAAAACCAACCAACCAAACGAACAAAAACAGGACAATTACCTAGTGACAACTACCATTAACATCTTTGTAAAGGTCCTCCTCCTTTTTTGAGACAGGGTCTTACTATGTAGTTCTGGCTGTCCTGGAATTCACTATGTAGACCGAGCTGGCCTCGAACTCATGGAGATCCACCTGCCTGTCTCCACAGGGCTGTACTAAATATGTGTGCCACCACACCAAGCTGTCCTTCCTTTTCTCCCACCAGTGAGTGGATGTTTTTCAGAGTGTTGCAATCAAACTGCCTATGCACTTTTATAGTGACTTAAAAAACAAAGTTATATATTATGATTTCCCATGATGCTACTGTTTTCTGTGGTGTTCTGTTGAGTTAGAATTTCATTAACCATTCTCCTCTTGTTCAGTTATGAGGTGCTTCCTAATTAAGTCTTTTAAAAGTAAGTTAGTTCTGTAACAATGCTGTGCAAAGGTTTTTCTGAATGCTTCTTGGAATGGTTGACAAAAGGAGGAATTACTGGATCAAGAGACAAAACATTTTAAAGAGTCCTAAAATAAGAACAATAGGGGGTGAGGCACTTATAAGTGTAACAGGGGAAACACTGAAAACATTCAAAGAGCCAGAAAAAGATGTTACCCATTACTATCATTATTTCCCATTGCAGCTGGATAAGAAAAAAACTAGAATATAAACATTGCAAAGCAAGGGCATAATTATCCTAGTTCCAGATAACAAGATTTTATTTTTATAGAGCCCAAAGGAATTAACTTGGGAAACCAGAGTAAACAATAAGACAACACTGTAAAGTATGTGTTTTCAAAATTAACACAAAGAAAGCAATAGTTTCCTTATGTATAAACTATAATTCTAATAAATGAAGCAAAAGTACATTTATAATAGAAACAAGGCAAAAATGAAATAGGAACTCACAATACATGTGCATGACCTATATGAAGAAACTTTGCAGCGTTGCTGGGAACACAGAAGTGCAACTGAGCTTATGCAAAGTGTCTTGCATTCATATGACAGAAATGACCTGGAATCAGAAAGATGCCCTTCTTCTCATCTGTAATGGCTCCCATAGCAAACAACAGCAATCTTCTTTATAACCCGCTGTTGATTTTGAAATTCACTTGGAAAGTGAGCAGACCTTTGCTTGCTTCTAGCCAGAAAATGTCTTAGAAAAAGACCCAGCGATGGGGGGAGGACTACTAAAACATGTAAGTGATTAAGTGCGCATAATTCCCAGGCATGCGTATAAACCGTAACTAGAGAACAGCACGGGGCAGGCATATCATATACAGTGGGTCATAGTTCAAATCAGTGAGGGGAAGATGGCACAGGACAACTGGGAAGCATTTCGAAACCTTGTTTTTCCTTAAACCCCAGTCTTCCTACCAGCCTAAGCTTCAGATATTAAAAAAAAAAATAATAATGTTAAATGCACACATGAGCCAGGAATGGGCTGAGGAGGGTGCATGCTTTTAGTTCTTAGACACATAAAAGACTGCAGCAATGAGCTGCCTTAAGCCCTGGGTATCAACACTCACCCGGACAACACAGCAAACCCCGTCATAATAAATAAGTAAATGCACAAGGCATTAGCCATCACTATTGTGTGGTGGTATTGTGTCCTCTAAAATATTGTGCACACTAATAAACTTATCTGGGGTCAGAAAACAGGACAGCCACAATATTAAACTGAGAGAATTGGCAGTGGTAGCACACACCTTTAATCCTAGCATTCCAGAGGCATTCCTCTGAATCTCTGTGAGTTCAAGGCCACATTGGAAACAGCCAGGCATTGTGACACACACCTTTAATCCCAGAAAGTGAGCCTTTAATCCCAGGGAGTGAGGCAGAAAACAGAAAGGTATATAAGGTGCGAGGACCAGAAACTAGAAGTATTTGGCTGGTTAAGCTTTTAGGCTTTTGAGCTACAGTTCAGCTGAGACCCATTCTGGATGAGGACTCAGAGGCTTCTAGTCTGAGGAAACAGGATCAGCTAAGGAACTGGCAAGGTGAGGAAGCTGTGGCTTGTTCTGCTTCTCTGATCTTCCAGCATTCACCCCCAATAACTGGCCTCAGATTTGATTTTCTTAATAAGAACTTTTTTTAAAAAATTTATTTATTATGTATACAGTGTTCTACTTGCATATATCCCTTCAGGCCAGAAGAGGGCACCAGATCTCATTCCAGATGGCTGTGAGCCACGATGTGGTTGCTGGGAATTGAACTCAGGACCTCTGGAAGAACAACCGGTGCTCTTAACCTCTGAGCCATCTCTCCAGCCCCTGATTTTCTTAATAAGAACTTTTAAGATTCCTGCTACACTATTGCTGCTGCCGCTTCCATACAAGTACTAGGAAAAGAATCACAGAAAATTTTTGATCATATTGGAATATAGAAATGCTTTTCTTTTTTATTATAACACAAAAGATAAACAGTGGAAAAATAAAGAATAATAAATGCAAACACACCAAAGTCAAATGCTTTTTATGGAAAAATCACCACAAGGAAAATAAAAATTCAAATTACTACCTAAGAAAAATATTTGCATCTTACATCACAAAGGGCCATTTCCCCTGAAACACAAGGAGTTTTTCTAAAAGTCATAAGAAAGATGAACAACCCACTGGGAAACTGGTTTCAAAGAAAACTCCCACCAATGACTCATAAAAAGTACAAACTTGGGCTGGGGAGATGGTTCAGAAGTTAAGAGCACTTGCTGCTCTTGCAGAGGACCAGAGTTTGATTCTCAGCATCCACGTAGCATCTCACAACCACCTATAACTCCAGTTCCAGTCTTCTTCTGGCCTACACAGGCACCAGGAATGGACACAGTGTATGTCCATACACATATGCAAGCAATACACTCAAACGCATAAATAAATCCTTTTTTTTCAACAATGCAAACACAAACTTTACAGAAACACCATATTTTCTCCCACCAAAATGGCAGGTCCCTGAGTCTGGTAACAAAACAGGTGGAAACACATTCTTCTGCTGTGTGGGTTGGAGCTCCTGACTAAGGCTCTAGGGAAGACACTGGGCAGTATGGATTCATGTGCACATAACCCTTGGCACAATTCTGCTCCAGATACTCACCATGTGGCATAGTCATAGTGCTATATTTGCTATCAAAAATGTCCTTAAAAGACTCATGTTGGAGGCTCGATCACCATGGTATTATTAGGAGATGGCTGAACCTAGTGGAGGTAGTTAGGCCACTGAGGATATGCCCTGTGAGTGGGTACTGAGACCCCAAACACTTCCTGTCTCTCTTTGCTTTCTGGTTGACTCAAGGTGGGCAGCTGTTCCTATACCACATGTTCCTACCATGATATACTATGCCGCCATAGGCCTAAAGTAACAGGGTCCACCAACCATGGGTTAGAACTTTTGAAACTGCTATCCAAATTAAACCATTGTTTCCCCTAATTTGATTTAGCTTAGGTATTTTTCACAGTGACAGAAAACTGACTAACACACACACACACACACACACACACACACACACACACACACGACTGTGAAATGGCACAGTCAAAGGTGATTCATTGCTGTATTTTTAAACAACAGATTGGAGAAACACCTAAAAGTCCAAAGTATAGAAGTAATTACTGGACATCCACATGGGTTTAGTTTGCCTGGGTTGCCATGGTAGAACACCACAAACTCTGTGGTTTAAACAACAAAAACTTACACAGTTCAGGAATCTTAAAATCCCAGATCAAAAGAGTCTACAGGACTGGGAAAATGGCTCAGGGACAAAGTGCTTGCTGTGAAAGCGGGCGTGGTGGAGTTTGGATCCACAGGACACATGTCAAAAGTCAAACTTGGCAGTATAGGTCTGAAACCCCAGCACCAGGGTGCAGAGATGAGCAGCTCTGTGTAGCTGGCTGAATCAGTGAGCTTTGGGTTCAGTGAGAGACCTTGTCTCAAAAATTAAGGTGGATAATGATAGAGGTAGACACCCATTGTTGATCTTGTCCCTACATACCCATGCACACATATGTGCATTACACACACACACACACACACACACACACACACACACACACACACACCTTCTTCACTATGACTTCAGTTTAGTTGTTTATATCTGAACTGACCCTAGAGCCAAATAGATTATATTCTCGGGTGTTGGGGGCTAGAACACCAAGGTATGAACTTTGAGGAGAACACATTTAAACCATAGTGCCATACTCAGTTATGAAGAAGAAAGAAAGGAACTCTTTATAAAGTGCTATAAACCAGGTGCTGTGATGTAGATGTGTAGTCCCAGATACTCAAGAAACTTATGCAGAAGGATCATTTGAACCCAGAAGTTTGGGTAACATAGTGAGAGAAACTTCTCAAATCAAACAAGAGACAAAATAACAACAGTAACAAAAAAAAAAAAAAGATATGCTCTAAGAAGCCAATATAACAACAACAAAACCCCTATAATATCCCAGCCATTAATACTATATAATTTATGTAAGATAAACAAACATGAACATATTCATGTATGCTTATAAAAATGTTCCCAATCATTTGGTCAGAAACCACTGACATTGGCTGATGGTGAGGAGGTGCCTGGGCTGCTGGAAGACGAGGGGGGAAGGAGAATTTTCAGTGCCTATCCTTGTACTTTGAACCAGGAGACTTATTTGTTTATTCAAATTTAAATTTAAACATAGTAAGGTAGCTGGAGGGTGAAAGATTTCACCTCCTTATTATACCAGCTTACTCCATGATCCCAATCACAATACACAATTGTAGCTAGAGTTTTCCTGCCTTGCCCACAGTCAGGACAAATCTCTGTCACCCGCCAGTCCCACAGCCGCTCAGACCCAACCAAGCAAACACAGAGACTTATATTGCTTACAAACTGTATGGCCGTGGCAGGCCTCCTGTTAACTGTTCCTATATCTTAA